GGCAAGAAGGATTTCTGGGAAGAATGGCCGAACCTACACCAGGTATGATTTTGGGAACTCCTTGTGGCTGGCGTTATATTGCGTACTGGTTCGTTCAATCAAGCAAACACCGCTTTGTGGTCCTGGCCGGCATGTTGACCTTTGCTCCCCTGTCGTCGATCCATTCTTCTATTGTTCTTTGGCCAGGATTTCGTGCTCTACAAGAAGGCGGAAATCACGCTGCGTCAAACTGCCGTTGGGGTCCTGGCCAAAGAACATAGACAAATGGATTGACGACAGGGGATCAAAGGTCAACATGCCGGCCAGGACCACAACGCGTTGTGTGCTTGAATGAACCAGTCCGTCATACAAATGGGCAAAGCCGTTCGGTGCTTTTTGGTTGCGCAATATAACTCCAGCCACCAGGAGTTCCCAAATCGTACCGGGTGTAGGTTCGCCATGCTTCCCAGAAATCCTTCTTGGCCCCATTCTGCGAGAAACGGCTGGTTTGTTGTTTTGGATGGTCGCTAAACATGGAAAGGAATCAAACTCTAGGACGACAGACACACCCAAATCGCGCGGGCCTGGTTTGACGCGTATTTCTGGGAGAGCATGACTGCCCGACCAACAAACAATTCAACCATGCCAGGCGGCCGCAGGGCGGCCGCCTTGCGGCTCTTGTCTCTGCAAGGCTGGCTGACAGGGGGAATGTGCTGATTTGACAGACGGTCGACCTTTTTCACCAACATGTACTGTAGCAACTAGGATGTGGTGCATGCACCTATACCTATCACGCCCAATTGCCATGAGAAAGCAGATGAACACCCCAACCCGAAGATGTCCAGCAAAACAAGATTTCTGAATTCCAGAAGGACCACCCTGAATTACTCTACATTTCTCTGAGCGCACAAAGACACCAATCCAAATTCCAACTCCCAAAGAATGCCTCGTGACCCCTATCACGGCTGGAATTCCCCCACACGGTCGGATCTTGGATGGGGAATGGTCAAAGACCTGAGGTTTTTTGCTGGCCTGATTTGGTCGAGTTCCGGATGCCGCCGCTGTGTTGCATTTGTTCGTTTTTCCTATCTTGATGAAGCAGTCTCCTTGGGCCGAAAGGTGCAACTGGAAGAGAGGGGTTACTCAGACACTCAAGAGATTTCAAGACGTTCATGTCTGATTCCCCGGATCTCCGACATTTCCTTTTTAGAGAACGATACATACATGGTATTACGGCCCCGTATTTAAACAAGAAACTGCGCAATCCTTGCCGTAGCTTTGGCTCTTTTCTGTGGGGGAGTGTCTCCTTGGGAGACCCTGCGTTGAGTGCCGAGGTAAGTGGGGCCCTCAGGGGTCTTGGTGCAAGGATTGCAGGGCCGTGAGGATTGGGATCCTGAAGGACACGAGCCTCCTTTTCTGCTGCGAAGAAGCGCTTGTGGAGATCCAGGACGTCATTGACATTGGATTGGCCCAGGCATCCTCGGCCCTGGGCACTGGTGGTGAGCCCTCCCAGGTCAGGGAGAGCAAGGAGGAGAGTCCCGTGACTCCGGAGGAGGAGAAGGCTTTCCGGGTGAAGGAGCGCGCACGGAGCCGCAGGAGGAGAAAACTAGGGACAGCCGTAGGACAAAAAACAGCCGCAAGAGCAAGTCCCGACAGAGGGACTACAAGAGGAGGGCAGATCGCTCTCCGAGCGCGGCCAAGGACCTCGGGAAGGAAGAAGAGCAGAGAGGAGTCGCCCCTAGAGGATGCCAAAGGAGCAGCGGAGCTGGACAAGGTTAACAGGAGGAGCCGGAGGCGCCAGCAGCAAGACCGCCCAAGACTCCACCACGGCCACTCCCAGGAACCCCGTGGCGCACACAGTCCTGGGCAGGAGCTCAGCCGAAGTGGTTCGGGAAGAGTAAGGAAGTGACCAAGAGAATCAAGCAGGCGAACTATAGGGAGAAGAACTTAGGCAAGATGCCGCCCAAAGCAAAAGGGAAGGCGCGAGCTCGGGCGAAAGCCAGGGCTCTTCGGAGGCCCGCAGCTGCGGGAGGTGAGATGAGGAGACCGGCAGGTGCTGGAAGTGTTGCGACCCCGTGCGCCGTCCAGTTGATGCGCGTAGAGTGTGAGGAGTTGGACGTTAAGGACATGTCCGTGGATGCCTTCAGGAACCTCACGAAGATCTTGATCACCAATGGTTCGTACTGGAAAGAGGAGATGGCCTTGGCGATGACGGTGGTGGGTCCTTTTTTCTCGGAGTCACTCGACCTACCCTTGTGCTTCTTCTTTCTCCGCTTATTCAACTCCTTTGCCTTCATAGCAACCTTCTTCCTAAACTCAGGCCTAGGGTCAAGGCCTGTGCCTGCAAAGAGCGTGGCATACTCCTTGATCGCAGAGCTTCGGGAACACTCCTCTGCCGACCTCTTCTTTACCTTGCCTGGCTTCAAGCCCTCCTTCTCCTTGGCAGTCTTCGCAGGCTCCTTTCCACCTCCTTCCTCTACAAAAAACTGTCTCCCTTCGCACGCACTGAGGACTCAAATCTTGCATCTCTCTGCGCAGGTCCTCCATCTCATCAGGTCGCTCCACCACGGCAGCCTCCATGTTTGTCAGCCAATCCTCAGACCAGGCATCAACCTTCTTTACCTTCCTGGCATGCAGGCATCCGCTTTTTCTTCTTGCCATGGACGATCCCAGTCAGGTAGGATTGCAGGTGATCTTCTTCTTCAATTGTGCAGCTCCAGGTGCAGAAGTTGGATTTTTCCATTAGCCCTGTTTGAAGTCATCTGTGAGTCTCCCGAGGCAACCACGCTAGCTGGGACACTGTCCAAAAGGTTGAACCACTACCAGTCCTGGCGAAACGACGCTGGCGTCCGGCCGCATTGTCAAAAGGCTCTGTGATGTGGTCAAGGAGTGCCCCTTGTTGCATGAGACTATTCCGTGCATTTCGTTGAAAACTTTTTTGAGGCCAAGACCATCGACTACCAAGATAAAAGGTGAGGGCGCCAGGCGTTTCCTTTGGCCCCTTCATTCACTCCCAGCTGAAGTGGGAAAGTTGGACCTCAAAGCCTTTTGTGAGCAGGGTGTTTTGCGGTACTCCAACTTTGAGGACTGACGCTGGTTGAGGACTCTGGATGGGCTGAAGTTTCTGGCTTTGCACCATGTGGGAGGAGCGCCCCTCCTAAATGGTCTTTTTGCGGTGGGGAAGGATGAGCAACTCACAAACGGCGCTTCACATGAGGTTGCGAGGCTCATTATGAACTTGGTCTCAACAATGTGTGCAAGCCTCTCATAGGCGACACTCCTACTCTCCGGTTGATTCAAGGGATGAGTACTTTTGTATTGGAAGCTGGGGAAGTCTTAGCCATTTCCCCGGAAGACATCAGATGCTTCTTCTGCCTTTTTGCTCTGCCTCAGGAGTGGAAGAAGTCATACACCGCAATGTTGTAGGAGTCTAACACATACACAGCAATGTTGTACGTCGCAGTGCGAAGTGATCCCCCAGTCATGGGAGAGCAAGAGCTGAGAAAAGACAAAGGTCCAACCACATCCAAGCAGTTATTCCGTGTCAGTTTCGATGAGCTGATCCGTTGCGATCACAGGACGGCCTCCCTTGTGCAGGGGGTGGAGTCTCCTTTGGTCGCTACACTGAGAAGTGAGTATCTGGAGTGTGTGACGTATGCTATGCTAGGGCTGGAAGTCCTGAGGCGTGGTAGGGCAACACAGCGAGAGCTCCAGGTGGTCTGTGGAGGTTTTGTTTACGCAGCTATGTGCCGAAGGCCTGCTGGGTGTACATCGTGGAAATGGGAGTGCTGTCCAAGTCCTCTCCCCCTTTGGAAGTGAAATGGGAGATAGCTTGCTTTATTGCGCTGCTGCCTTTGGCCTATATGGACTTGCCCTTCAGCGAGATAGTGACGGCGAGCGATGCCTACAGGCGGGGGTGGATTCACGGTCAGTCGTGGACTCACCAGCTACGGGCTGGCTGCTGAGCGAGCTCAAATTCGGGGTGCCGGCGGAGGAACACGATCTGGTTCGAGTTCTGGCTATTGGCTTGTTCGATGGGATCGGTGCCCTTTGGGTCGCTTGCGTCCCTCTTGCGGCAATTGCCGAGAAGCCCGCAGAGTACTGGAGAGCAATTTTCCAGATGTCATCCATGTGACCAACGTGGAGGAGGTCGACGAAGAGATGGTGATGGACTGGGCTCTGCAGCACAGCGGAGCTGGTGTGGTGCTTATTGTGGCCGGGCTTGCCAGGGAGTGTCCGGCCTAAATGTGGATCGATTGTCGCGGTGCCCAGCGGGAGCCGGTTGTATGTGCATGTCCCACGCGTCAGGGACCTCATTAACAGTACTTCTCTTGGGCTCAAGTGCAGTACTTGGTGGAGAACGTGGCTTCTATGAATGCAAAGGATTGCGAGCTCATGAGGGCGGCCTTATGGAGACCGACCGTGGAAGGTGGACGCTGGCGGTGTTTCTTTAGCTCATCGACCGGTCTTCTTGGACAATTTGCGTCTCTCCAACACGCCCGGCCTTAATTTGACATTTAAGTAGCCCGTAATTTCTGACTTGCACCAAGCCCATGATGGTCCTTTACTAGGGGTTCTCCAGACTCCGGTTGGTGCACAATGTCATGTAATTTAGCCAGGTCATTTGCAGGCAGGCACTGACGTGGTGGTCTTAACAAGATTCTTTTTTTCAGCTGATTTTGGTGGGACCCAAGGTCTGCCAATTCCAGGTGGGAGGTGATGCTCAATCCTACCTGCGCCAACAACCAGCTGCTCTCAACTGTTGGGCAGTAAGAATTGCCCCCCCCCCCCCTTTAGAACAGTGGAGTGTGTTTGGGGGGGGAGGGGGGGGTTGGAGCGGCTTTATGAAAAAGAAGGTAGAAGGATGTAGAAGACAAAGAGCACGTTGAGCTATTTGTTGCTTGGGACTTTGGGTGAGTCATGTCTTTTGTTTGAAATCGTATGCCCTCATCCACTTTTCCCGCTCCCCGCTTTTCCCGCGCCTCGAAGCCAAGGGCCCGCATGCCCCCCATTGCGGTTCGAGCCTTTACTAGCACCCAGTTCGCAATTTGCCAAAGTTATTTTCTCTCGCCATGGCCGGTAAAGTGGTTGCGACCCTCGTCCTCCTGTGCGGCTGCTACGCCTCGCGCACCGACATGCGCGCGGCTGCGGGTAAGGTGAAAAACACAGATGAAGTCAAGCAGGCCGCCGCGGACTTCCAGAGCGACATAGAAGGTATGAAGAAGGTGTTGGCAGACTTTCAGGCGTGGTCGAAGGGCATGAGCAATCTTCGCGATGGCCTGCCTGCTTTTTGTTTGCATCGGTTGTGCGCACGCTCACACGCACAATCACGCACACACGTTGTGGATTCAATACTTACGCGTTACTTGAAACATACGTGAACACGTTCAGACATTTGTGCAAGACCGACAGGTGCCGACCGTTGGGAGATGTTGGTATGCACAGGGTCAGGCTGTTTAGGCAGGCGGCGCGCGTCAGTGTATGTGTGGCAGTTGAGTCTTCTACGGTCCCAGATTCAAAGCTTTCCAGGGTTGTAAAGGAACATAAGGAAAGAGGACATGTCATATAGTGCACGCGCGGAGGCATGCGTAGGCAGTTTGAGCAACATAATCAGGGTCTTTCGCGTAGGCGCTGCGTAGGCTGGAGCCAATGAGGTCAACATTTGCTTGTTGAATTAGTCATCGGGCTTTTGCATTACATTGTTGGCAAACGGAGGGTTGCGGCTCACTTGTTCTTTCTCAGGTCTCTTTGCTCTTCTCTTTCACGTTGCGTTTTTTCTTGTTTTTCTTTTTAGCCTTTGTCTTGTTCTTTTTTTATTCAAGTCAAATATGTGCTGTTTGCCCTTCCCTTTTTTGTACTCCCCGTAGTTCTACTTTCACCGACTTTGCAGCGCCTGCTGCGTCGGCTCTGTCCAGAACAGTCGCTTTCCGCGTCTCTGCGCAGGCCCTGCCAGGGCATTCGCGTAAGCGGCCAGATTTTCTGACCGGCCCCTTTCGCAGCCCAGGCTCACAGACTCAGACCGCGAATGCGGTGGCTTGAGAGATTTTGGCTGTTTGCCATTTGGGCTGGATCTGCCCATCTGCGTGTACGTGATTCACCCTCTCAAACGCAGCAGAGTTGTACCGAAAGCACACCGCGTTGGCACTTTCAGCTCAAAACTTCAACGGCGTAGGTGCACGTAGGCTCGTTCCGTTGAGCGCATCTCGCGCAGGCCGACCCCCCAGGAATTCGAATGCCGGCGCAGGCGTAGGCATGGGCAAATGGCCTCGCATTGCCTTGTTACAACGACATTCCACAGATGGATCCACCGGTCGATCCGCAGCTTGGCCATGCAAGCTGGTTCTGCCCGCGCATGCCAATGATTCCTCTGACGGCAAAGCTTTTCACGTTCCATGGCCGCAGATCAGCCATTCGCCTCACCAGGCCAGTGTTTACAGATTGTTTGCCAGGTTAGAGATGCCTCTTCATGATGGTTCGACGGGGCGCCTGGTTCTGCAAACGCACCTGTGGCATGTGCATGTCTTGTTTCATGTCCTGGGGCATCTTGACTTTATTGTTTTTGCCTGCCTTTCTGCAGCTCTTTGCTTTTGTCCTTCTGATCCCGCGTGCTTCTGATCTCACAGGGCATTTCCACATCGAGGGGGATGAGGGGGCCACCGCTGCTCACCGATGAGCATGGCAGCTTCAGTGCTACAGCGTTTTTCGGCGGCTTCCTCAGCTCTAGCCATGCATCGTTGAATCTACGCATGCGGCTGCAATTGTTGCACGGTCATGCTGCCATGCTGCAAGGTTCCTACTTCCAACCTTCAGACTCTTGCATTCGCAGTTGCGAGAAAGAGGCTTGCGCCAAAAGAAAACACAGCTGCACGTCAGAGACAAATGCACCGATTGTGGTTGGATGACTGGTGGTCTGACAGTCTCGAAGCTCAAAGTTGGCTGCAGTTGATCATGCGGACCAGTAGCGTGATCAAATCAGCCGCTGGCATTCGGCCGTCGCAAAGCCTAAAGATGCCTAAATATGCCAAAAGAAGTTTTGGACTGGAGGGCATGCTTTTGGCCAAATGTGCGACTGCAGCTTTGGCCTCTCGTAACAGTCCTTGGTCCCTCGTGCGAGGATCCTTTTGGGAGCAAAGTCCCCAATCACTGCCGCTGCCCCAGTGAGACTTCGGCGAGTCCGACCACCTGACTCTTTCCAATATAACAGCTTTGGCCTGAGTATTCCGATAATCTCATGCATTTTTGGAGCCCCCACATGTTCCAATGGTTCCGCCGTGTTCTGCCGGAACCGTTGCCCCTTCTGAAGGGTTTGCCGTCGCGCTGCGGGCCACGGGTCAGTGGGGCGCTGCTCCACGGCTCCAGGACCTGAGGCTCACGCACACCCTTGCCGATGCGGACGATTGGATCTTCTCCGTGGCCTGGGCGCCCGACGGCCGCCTCGCGGCGGGGAGTCGTGACAAAAATGTCCGAGTTTATGACGAGGCGGGCTCGGGAGGCCTCGGTGGCTGGTTTCTTTCGTATTGTGCCACGTCGCTGGTGCTGTCATGTCTTCCTAGGTGTGAAGAGCCTTGTTGCTGCTAGCCATTGGCCGCTAGTAATCCCCTTCAAAATGAAACTGATTGCTACAGCGGACCCTGGGCTTAAAGGCAACGGATTTTGGACTGTCATGCAAACGCTGCAGTGCTGCGGTATTGGCCCCGAAGTTCCTGAAGAGGTCCGATGTGCTGATGAGCAGGTTTTACACGGTGCTTTGCTGGTTGGTTTCGGCAATTTCTGGATCAAGGGTTGCAGCGCAACCTGTGTTTGCGCATTTTTGCACCTATCTTTTCAATTTCCAGGTTCTGCCGGAACCGTTGCCCCTTCTGAAGGGTTTGCCGTTGCGCTGCGGGCCACGGGTCAGTGGGGCGCTGCACGGCGCCAGGACCTGAGGCTCACGCACGCCCTCGGCGATGCGGACGGTATTGTCTTAAGTCCGTGGCCTGGGCGCCCGACGGCCGCCTTGCGGCGGGGGGTTATGACAAAAAAGTCCGAGTTTATGACAAGGCGGGCTCGGGAGGGCTCGGTGGCTGGTTTCTTTCGTATTGTGCCACGGCGCTAGATGTGAAGAGCCTTGTTGCTGCTGGCCATTGACCGCTAGTAATCCCCTTCAAAATGGAACTGATTGCTACAGCCGACCCTGGGCTTAAAGGCAACGGATTTTGGACTGTCATGCAAACGCTGCAGTGCTGCGGTATTGGCCCCGAAGTTCCTGAAGAGGTCCGATGTGCTGATGAGCAGGTTTTACACGGTGCTTTGCTGGTTGGTTTCGGCAATTTCTGGATCAAGGGTTGCAGCGCAACCTGTGTTTGCGCATTTTTGCACCGACCTTTTCAATTTCCAGGTTCTGCCGGAACCGTTGCCCCTTCTGAAGGGTTTGCCGTTGCGCTGCGGGCCACGGGTCAATGGACCGCTGCTGCACGGCGCCAGGACCTGAGGCTCACGCAGACCCTCGGCGATGCGGACGATCCGATCGAGTCCGTGGCCTGGGCGCCCGACGGCCGCCTCGCGGCGGGGAGTCGTGACAAAAAAGTCCGAGTTTATGACGAGGCGGGCTCGGGAGGGGTCGGTGGCTGGTTTCTTTCGTATTGTGCCACGTCGCTGATGCTGTCATGTCTTCCTAGATGTGAAGAGCCTTGTTGCTGCTGGCCATTGACCGCCAGCAATCCCCTTCAAAATGAAACTGATTGCTAGAGCGGACCCTGGGCTTAAAGGCAACGGATTTTGGACTGTCATGCAAACGCTGCAGTGCTGCGGTATTGGCCCCGAAGTTCCTGAAGAGGTCCGATGTGCTGATGAGCAGGTTTTACACGGTGCTTTGCTGGTTGGTTTCGGCAATTTCTGGATCAAGAGTTGCAGCACAACCTGTGTTTGCGCATTTTTGCACCGACCTTTTCAATTTCCAGGTTCTGCCGGAACCGTTGCCCCTTCTGAAGGGTTTGCCGTTGCGCTGCGGGCCACGGGTCAGTGGGGCGCTGCACGGCGCCAGGACCTGAGGCTCACGCACACCCTCGACGATGCGGACGCTTGGATCTTCTCCGTGGCCTGGGCGCCCGACGGCCGCCTCGCGGCGGGGGGTAATGACAAAAAAGTCCGAGTTTATGACAAGGCGGGCTCGGGAGGGCTCGGTGGCTGGTTTCTTTCGTACTGTGCCACGTCGCTGGTGCTGTCATGTCTTCCTAGATGTGAAGAGCCTTGTTGCTGCTGGCCATTGACCGCTAGTAATCCCCTTCACAATGAAACTGATTGCTAATTACAGCGGACCCTGGGCTTAAAGGCAACGGATTTTGGACTGTCATGCAAACGCTGCAGTGCTGCAGTATTGGCCCCGAAGTTTCTGAAGAGGTCCGATGTGCTGATGAGCAGGTTTTACACGGTGCTTTGCTGGTTGGTTTCGGCAATTTCTGGATCAAGGGTTGCAGCGCAACCTGTGTTTGCGCATTTTTGCACCTACCTTTTCAATTTCCAGGTTCTGCCGGAACCGTTGCCCCTTCTGAATGGTTTGCTGTTGCGCTGCGGGCCACGGGTCAGTGGGGCGCTGCACGGCGCCAGGACCTGAGGCTCACGCACACCCTCGGCGATGCGGACCGTCTTGTCTCGTCCGTGGCCTGGACGCCCGACGGCCGCCTCGCGGCGGGGAGTTATGACAAAAAAGTCCGAGTTTATGACAAGGCGGGCTCGGGAGGGCTCGGTGGCTGGTTTATTTCGTATTGTGCCACGTCGCTGGTGCTGTCATGTCTCCCTAGATGTGAAGAGCCTTGTTGCTGCTGGCCATTGACCGCTAGTAATCCCCTTCAAAATGAAACTGATTGCTACAGCGGACCCTGGGCTTAAAGGCAACGGATTTTGGACTGTCATGCAAACGCTGCAGTGCTGCGGTATTGGCCCCGAAGTTCCTGAAGAGGTCCGATGTGCTGATGAGCAGGTTTTACACGGTGCTTTGCTGGTTGGCTTCGGCAATTTCTGGATCAAGGGTTGCAGCGCAACCTGTGTTTGCGCATTTTTGCACCTACCTTTTCAATTTCCAGGTTCTGCCGGAACCCCCTTCTGAAGGGTTTGCCGTTGCGCTGCGGGCCACGGGTCAGTGGGGCGCTGCTGCACGGCGCCAGGACTTGAGGCTCACGCACACCCTCGGCGCGGATGTCGGCATCAGTTCCGTGGCCTGGGCGCCCGACGGCCGCCTTGCGGCGGGGAGTCGTGACAAAAAAGTCCGAGTTTATGACAAGGCGGGCTCGGGAGGGCTCGGTGGCTGGATTCTTTCGTATTGTGCCACGTCGCTGGTGCTGTCATGTCTTCCTAGATGTGAAGAGCCTTGCTGCTGGCCATTGACCGCTAGTAATCCCCTTCAAAATAAAACTGATTGCTACAGCGGACCCTGGGCTTAGAGGCAACGGATTTTGGACTGTCATGCAAACGCTGCAGTGCTGCGGTATTGGCCCCGAAGTTCCTGAAGAGGTCCGATGTGCTGATGAGCAGGTTTTACACGGTGCTTTGCTGGTTGGTTTCGGCAATTTCTGGATCAAGGGTTGCAGCGCAACCTGTGTTTGCGCATTTTTGCACCTACCTTTTCAATTTCCAGGTTCTGCCGGAACCGTTGCCCCTTCTGAAGGGTTTGCCGTTGCGCTGCGGGCCACGGGTCAGTGGGGCGCTGCTGCACGGCGCCAGGACCTGAGGCTCATATACACCCTCGGCGATGCGGACGCTTGGATCTTCTCTGTGGCCTGGGCGCCCGACGGCCGCCTCGCGGCGGGGAGTGATGACAAAAAAGTCCGAGTTTATCACAAGGCGGGCTCGGGAGGGCTCGGTGGCTGGTTTCTTTCGTATTGTGCCACGTCGCTGGTGCTGTCATGTCTCCCTAGATGTGAAGAGGCTTGTTGCTGCTGGCCATTGACCGCTAGTAATCCCCTTCAAACTGAAACTGATTGCTACAGCGGACCCTGGGCTTAAAGGCAACGGATTTTGGACTGTCATGCAAACGCTGCAGTGCTGCGGTATTGGCCCCGAAGTTCCTGAAGAGGTCCGATGTGCTGATGAGCAGGTTTTACACGGTGCTTTGCTGGTTGGTTTCGGCAATTTCTGGATCAAGGGTTGCAGCGCAACCTGTGTTTCCCTGAGCATCGCTTTTTGATTAGAATCAAAACATTTGATTTTAAGGGTTGGCAAATCAATTCTCTCAATTTGATTCTTTAAAGGCAAAAATCAAATAGAAAAAGAGTAGGTTTCAACAGCAAAATTCAAAACGAAAATCAAAAAGAAACAAAAAGAAACTCAAGAAAACACATTTCAAAAAACAGTGAAAACACACCACACAGCTGACAGTTTTCCACAATGCCAAAGTACATGCAGCAAGTTTCTTTGAACTTGCAGACTGCAGAAAAAATCTGGAGCAACCTTTTCCAAAGCTGCTGCAGTCTTTTCCAAAACTGCTCCAACTCAGCAAGCTGGCCCAAGAGGTGTCTTCCCAAGGCTTCAACCTTTTCCAAAGTCAAACTTCATCTGTGTAGCCTTCCTCCATGTCTTGCATGGATCTGGTCAAGAAGAGGTGGGTTAGTATTCTGTACTTGCCCACCACCTTGCTTGACAACCTTGTGGAAGACACCCTCATTGAGACTGAATGGGTCAGCTTACTGATTTGACCTACAAAGTCTTCCCCTTGAAAGCACCAATGGAGCTTTGGATTGAGATGCTTTGAATTCCATAGCAAATGCAAACAGGAATGGTGCTTGGCCACTATGTGGAATGACTTTCTGTCCTTTTCCAAAGACCATGCAAGGAGCCAGGCATAGCTCCCAAGGACAAACTCTTCTCATATTGAGCTGGGGTGGGGCAAACACCAATGTCATCCCACAGTTGAACCAGCTTTTCCAAACTGGTGGCTGCCCTCAACATTTCTACTTCACACACCTCCATGGTGTCTGCAAAAACTGTTTGGAGGACAGGAATGATTGCTGGGAGCAGGTGTCTGGCCTCCCCTCCTTGCATTCCAACACAGGATGCTTTGACCATGGCTTGCTAGGGTCACAGATCATAGATAGGCGGAGGTTTGTCAGTCGGTTTTTGCATTCCTGCTGGGTATAATGAACTTGGATCTGTGAAAACAGAACACTCAACCTTTCCCAAGGTTTTTTTGCTGTTCTCATCCTTGGCCCTTCATAGTAGCAGCAGTAGTGAAGCACACCACCAATCACATGGCCATAAATTCCTTTGCAGAAAAGCATATGGAGGGGATCTCCTCTGACCATGCAGCTGCTGACCCCAGGGAGTTTGAAAATTGCATGGTCACTCCATGGGTCACGCAGAGAAATCGAAAAAAACCAAAAAACCAAAGATTCTGGGACAATGTGCTGGTATCATGTAAACATTCTGTTGGCCAGATTGTTTTTTTTTGGTTTTTTTCGATTTCTCGAGGTTTCTTTCGGTTTTGGACAAAATCTTTCGATTTCTCGATTTTTTTTTGATTTTGGATGGTTTCTTTCGAATTCTCAATGTTTTTTTGATTTTGGACACCTTCTTTTGATTTCTCGATGTTTCTAAGGCTGCCTGCAGCAAAAGCTTCAACACAGGACAGCTTTGCAAGGAAGAGCTTAGAAGGTTTCCAAACACCAAACAACAAGAAAACCAAAGGTGTGGCCAGCCCGACAACACAGCTTCAGGTGACAGCAAGCCCGGCAGAGTCCTTAGCTTCCAGCAAGCTTGCACCCAGCCCCAGCCCAGCTAGCTTAGAGAAGAAACAGTTCAGCGTAAAGAAGTTTTTTGGAACACCAGAGCAGCAAGCCAAGGAGATAGAGCCTGTGCTATCACTGGTGAAGTCAGCTTACCTCCAGAAGCTAGCAGAGCTGGACAAAGAAGACCCAGAAGAAGCTGTAACAGGCAGACGAGGTGGCAGGCCTCCAGTTCTGGAAGAGCGTAGAGGAACTGCAGGTGGGCAGTTAAGCAACAGGAAGAAGGAGACAGATCCTTCCAGGAAGCAAGAGCTTTTTGCCTTTCAGAAGACGAAGCTCAGTGAAGAGACTCAAATGATTCTGGAAGAGTCTCAGCCTCAGAAGCAGAAGCTTGGGCAGTTGCAAGGAGAAAGTTCAAGATGAGCACACAGAGGCTCGAAGATTGGAGGTTTGCCAGAGCAGCTAGTGGAGGGAGAAAGAGAGAGTTTAGCAGAGAGATCTCTCAACTTGGCAAGTGGTTGCAGAAAGAAAGGAGTTATAGCCACAACGTTTCAAAGAATGAGCTGCTGAAAGAGTTCTTTGCCCTTCTGGTTGCAAGGGCAGAGAGATGCATGGTCAGGGCAGAGCTTTGCAGAAATGAGATGCAAAGGAAAGCTTGGCTGAAAGAAGCTGACTGTGCCCTACAGAGAAAGACCAAGCTCCAGCAGAGCTCAAAGTATGCAGCTTCTTATGTAGAGAAGCTCCAATGGCTAGGTGCAGCTTACTTGAGCAAAGATCAGACTACTCGCCTGGCACCAGTTGAAGAACAGGCGCGGGCCCAGCTCACCTTCCAGGATATTGACAGAAAGCTCTGGCATCTAGGCGCTTGCTCCATGATAGTTAAGAACCGATCCTCACTGGTAATCGGCACGAGTGATCAAGTCCCACTTTGGGTCAAAGATCCAAGCAAGAAGTTTGTCTTCTCTGCAGATGAGCTCAAAGGTGCCAGTTGGGACGACAGAAAGAGGTGGACTGAGAGCAGGTAGGAGCTGAAAGCTGCTTAAGTTCAGGCAGCTGAAGAAGGTTACCAGCTTGTCAGTTGGGCAGATGTAGGAGCAGGGCCTCTCAAAGTTGCAGGTAATAAGGTGATGACAGGACAAAGTTCAGATGAAAAGCTTCGTTTAACATACGAAGCTTGCCAGAAGATTTACAACATAGGAGCTCCAGCAGGAACAGCTCTGCAAGGCGACTACTGCGGCGCAAGGTCGGCATAGGTAGCCATCCACGATCTCCTTGAGATCCTCGTAGGTCATGTCTTCTGCTGCAAGTGCCATCAGGATGCAGATGGATGAAATGCTTTCTAGCTGGCCAAAGTTGCAGCGCAGATCGCGGTCAGAGGATATATACACACATAACTGCACACAACTCCCCAATTCGGAAAAACACTCGTTTCACATGGAAAATACCCACGCTGAGGGGGTCCCCCTCTCAAAAGCTACAGGTTACATGCTGCGCCCACTGGAACCAAGCTAAACCATGCCCTATAAGAGTCTGTGGAAAATCAATTTGCAGGATTAAGACCCAAAAAACCTTAAAAAATACAAACCCTTAAGGGTGATAACCTGAGCCACCTTCCCGCACCATTTTGCTTGCAACTCGCTATTTGTGTAAGATCCATTCCCTTTTTAGGAATACTGTGCCAAACTACTCATGTGCCCTTTCCCAAAGGCTCTTCTTTCTTTCCTTTTCCTAAAGCTGCCCAAAGGCATCTTTCTCTTCCAAAACTGCCCTTTCGCAAAGGCGCATCTTATGCAAAGGCCTTTGCTTTTCCACACTTTGGAGAAACCTTTCCCAAAGTTTCACTTGCTGCTTCTGGATCTTTTGCTGCCAGCCACTGATGCCTCCTTGTTGGCCAGCTGCTTCAATTCCTTTGTTTCATTCTTTGCACCTTTCACAACTTTGGCAGTTTCCTCCAGAAGCTGCTTCACAGCTTGGGGTTTGACTTCCTTCTTGCCATTCAGAACCGTTTTCAGCTGCGCCAACATCTTGCTGAGCGAGGTGGACCAA